GTTAGCTCTGATACAAAAATAGAACTATAATTAAGTTTGGTAAAAAGAATAGTTGTAAATTTATAGATGAGTTTTTTTAAAGTATTTTTAAGTATATTAAAAAGAATAGTAGTATTAGGATCAATATTTGGGTTGCTTTTAAATATAAAGTCAGTTAAGAACTTTGAATAAGCCTTAGCTATTGTCCTAATAAGTTGTTTAAAAGTTGCTTTTAAGGCTTTTTGAGTTTGAGTAGCAGGTTTTGTTTCTTTTTCAAGATAAAAATCATGTAAATAGTTTTTAAAGAAGTTAAACAGATTGTGAGAGAGAGTTGTTTGAAGTTTGGTATTCACTTTCATATTTTCAAAAATTAGAAAATTTGCAATCCAGTCGAAAGTTAAAGTTGTTTTAGTAAATTTATTTTGAGTAATTTTATCTGTGTCTATTTGATCTTTGTATTGGTTATTATTTTTATCTTCGATTGTAGTTTCTAAAATATTATCTTTAGATTAGTTAAAATTAGAAGTAGATAGTTTTGAAAAGATAGTTTTAAAAAGAGTAACTTTCTCTTTTAAAGTTATTTTAGCTATTTTCATAGCTATGAGTACTGATTTTTGTTTGAGTGTTAATAGTGAAGTTTGAGGTTTAATAGTAAGTTTAATATCTCAGAGTTTAGAAATGCAATTATGATGTAATAAGAAGTTTTTAAAGATAATACATTGTGTGTAGTCAGGTATGTATTTAGTATTAATAAGATAGATACATGAGATAGTTTTTTGTTTATAGCACAAACAAGTATGGTAGTGTTGTAAATAAGGAGTAATTTCAGAAAGAGCTGGATTGGTATTAAAGTTTGGAAAAAGAATTTTAGGATTGGCAGTTGGTTGTTGTTGTTATTGTTATTGTTTTGGAATAGGTGATATTTGTAGTTTATCAGTAATTCTGTTAAAATGTTTAGCAGAAATAAGCAGTAATGTTTCTATAGGAGCTGTTCCTAAAACTATTTGTAAAGAAATTTTGTAAAATTGAGAAGTGAAGTTTGTATGATATTTGCTACATAAACATGTAGCAAGTTTAGGTTGAGTGAGGATCTTGAAGTAATAATGCTTTTTTGTTGAATTAGTATCACATGTTTTAGGATCAATATCTGCTAATAAAACTTGTAATTTGTTAGAATTAAGTTCAGTCATTCCAATACTATGACAGTTTCAGTATTTAGAATAATAGTAATTAATATTGTAAGAGTCTGGCTCTTCTGTAATAAGTGAAGGCATATTTTAAATATCTTAAGATTAAAGAGATTAAAGAGAGCTTCGAGACAAGCTAAAGTTTGTTTCATATAACGTTACTTAGGTAGTAATATACTTGTGACTTGTGTAATAAGAGTGGCTAGTACAGCTAGTATAGCTGAGGTAGTACACAATATAGTATGTATAACTTTACTAAGAATAGTAAAGCTTTGTACTTTGTATGCTAAAATTAAAAATAGTAATTTAAAAATAAATATAAGTATTTTTAGAAATTATAAATAATTTGTTTGTTTTTAGAATTTTACTAGATTTGTAATTTGAATTACAAATCTTGTATGCAAGATAAATTTTGTACAAATTTGATAAGATCTGAATTTAGTAATCTGTAATTTATGTTACAGTTACAGTTTTAGCTAGAATTAGAAGGAAAATTAATTATCAAAAAAGTAAGAAAATTTGAAGCAAAAAAAATATTTTTAGGTATTTTTAAAAGCTGTTTGAAACACTAAAGAGCTCAATTTTTGTGCTAGAAAGATAGTTTAGAGCTTGTTATGACCAGAAAAGGCTAGCTAACAACTTTACTTAAGAGCACAAAAGAGATTTAGAAACTAGTTTTAAAAATATTTTACAATTTTGGTACATCTAGTTTTTTGAATATAACTCTGCTTAAAAAAAAGCGAGAGTTATAAAACTAGGCTAATAAAATGTAAAAATATGTGTAGAGCAAGTTTACTTAAGAGCACTTGCTTGGTTTACTTAATAAAATTTTAAGAAAATTTGGTTTTGTTGAAAAATATTTTGAGAAAATTTGGTACAAAGGATCTACAGATTAAGTGCAGTCTAATTATTCTATACTTAAAGTATTTAAAATCAAATTATTGTTAAATAAACTACTAGTTACAACTAATCTAGTAAAGTAAATCTATATAAATATATATTAATATTTTATAAAAGATATAACAAAGAACTAAAAAACAATTAGTACTAGATTATATTTTTAAAAAATATTATTTTATTAGACCAAATTATAAACAAAAGTATCAAGTTCATACTAAATAAAGATATATAACTACAAATTATTTAAGAGATTTAAAAAGCTATATTCTCAAACATTTTATATAATACAAAAGATCTAAAAACTAACTCTATTAAAATTATTCATTGCTTTATTTCTAAAGATATATTACAATTACTAGCTACAATTAGTAGTTTAACTTTTATTCTAAAGACTAATAAACTTTTTCACAAAATCTAAAAAGAATTTTATCACAAGATATAAATCTATAGATATCAAGAATTGTATAATCTAAACAAAACAATTTTATATACAGAGCAAATACAAGAAAGTTAAAGTTATAACAAAAATACAGAAAACCTTACAAATATAACACCAAGATAGCAATATATAAAAACAAGTTAGCAACTTAATCAGATTTATTACTTAAAACATATAATCTAATATACTTATATACATAATAAACTAGACAATGTAATAAATATTATTATCTGAATAAAAACTAAAACAAAACCTTTCTCTTCTAAAAAAAATAAAAAAAATAAAAAATAAATAAAATTACATAAAAAAAGTAAACTAAGACTTACTAACAAAGTAATCACTCTGCTAATTAAAACTTTAAGCTTAAAATAATTTGTAATACTAGACAAAATTTTAATCATAAAGATTTTTTGTATTATAACATATTGATCAATAGATATCATCCTTTTAATCACAATATAAACCCTTCTGTTGATGCTCTAAATTTTTAGGTAATAAACATCTTTTTTTTTCTCTTAAATAACAATATAATTTATATTATTTCACATTTGTTTATTTAATTTGGCAAAGTTATTTTTGATCTTTTTTAGAATTTTATTTGTTAGGCTTCCAGCAACCTCTAAAGTAAAGATTTCATAATTCAAATAATTTTACACGGTAAAGCCTGGTCTAGTTCTATTTACAAATTCTTGAGAATTTTGGAGTTTATTATATTTTGATGATATTAATGCTGAATCTCTATAGAGAAAATCTGATAAAATTTCTAAAATAATTGTGAAGTAATAGAATGTACATTATTTACCAACTAGTATAAGAACCATCGGTATCTGCTAATATATCGAGATATGATTTTAAAACTTCCGTACAAAATTTTAATTCAGACATTTTAATGAAAAAAATCTCCCTTTCAGAATTTTTAATGATAAGATCTGTAATATATATACAATTTTTGTACGATATCAAAAATGGCATTCTTTTAAAGTTTCAATTCTCAAATTTACTAATTTCCGTTTCTGTTCCACTTCTTTGAATATATTTTCAACATTAAGGATCTAAATATTATTATTAATGAATTAAAATTATTAAACAAAATAAGTAAAAAGGAGCGCATTCGTGTTACCTCTACCATTAAAAAATAGAAAATATATTATCTAAATATCCATTGATATCTTCGTCTAATTCTACTTTCGCAGGTGGAAACAAATTCCTCAAAAACTGAGTTTCATTTTTTTGCAATAAATTGCTTAATCGATTAATATCCAAAATATAGTCCTTAATAAATCGTTTTTGAAAAAAAATTAGAAAATTGAATAATCAACAAACATTTTTATGTACGTCAATAGGTACCTATTATTTTCTGTCTTTTTACGCAAACGGTTCCATATGTTGAAGATAGTATTGCTTTGCTTAGAAGGAATGACAACAATCACAGGAGAATAGTCATTTAAAATATGGTTCGCTTTTTTACGACATCTTACTGGATATTTATTACTTTCACTAATCGCTGTCAAGGAATGTTTATCATTATCTTGATTTTGCGTATAGCTTTTTTTTTCCTGGCTGGTAGGCAAGTAATTGGGAGGCAAGAGAATAGCTACTAAAGGTTCGTTGTCGTCTGAAGCTCTAATAGACTGTTCATAATAGTCATTTTGTTGGTTGTTATGATTAGTAAT